TTGATTCTGGACTTCCCAGTCTCCAGACCTGTAAGGATTTCTTTCAGAAATAAATTTCTCTTTATAAATTATTCTGTTACAACATCACAAAAAAAAATATGATAGAGCGGAAAATGTCGTCTTCAAGCATGTCACAAATAAAGATTGTGGAAATGTTCCAGATTAAGAGAGGTTAAAGTAGAGCCAGCAAGATGGCTCAGCCAGTAAAGGCACTTGCCACCAAGCCCAACAACCTGAGCTCTGTCCTAGGTACCCACATGGTGGAAAGAGAAAACTGACTCCCACAAGCTGTCTTCTGACCTACATGTGCACACACACAATAAGCAAACAAATAAACAAATGAGATCAAAGTAACATGGTAAATAAATATTTCTAAATAATCAAAATACGAAATCTGATTCCAGTTCCAGTAACAATAATACAGAAAATGCTACAAAGGACATTACCAGATCAACTCCAAAACTAGGATTATGGACAATGGATTGAATCAATGTAAAATCACGAGTTGATAATTATACCATAGTTATATAAAATATTTCTACTCATTGACATACTCAGAGTTAATGGATCATGAGTAATCCTCATATGATTCAAAAAAAATAGGAAAAAATGGAGAAAAAAGAGATAAGAGAAGTAAACAAATGTTAAAGCAAGTAGGGTAAAATGTCAACATCAGTTGAATTGGGGTAGACAATAAAGAAGTGCTCTTTGTACTATATTCTTGCAACTTTTGTAAGTTTGAAATTAGTTCCAAGTAAGAAATTTAAAATGATAGCATACAGACATCCAACTCCCATTCTGTTCAATACAGTGGCCCTAGCTACCCAACGCTGCTGAACAACTGAAATGTGGTTAGCACAAATTGAGATGTTCCATTAGCTTAAAGTACATACCACATTTCCAAGACTTAGTACAAAAAGAAATGCAAAAATCTCAATAATTTTATATTGCTCACATGTAGAAATATTTTAAGTATACTAGGCTAAAGGAATGTTTTCAATTTTTTGCTCCATTTTTACTTTTTAAAAATATGAGCACTAGCAATCTTAGCTTACACATATGACTCCTGTTTGCACTGGACAGAGCTGAGCCAGACAAACAGCTCCACAATGTTGGATTTCATACCATTTTACTAATTTCTCTCACAGTTATCTTCCTCCTTTAAATATACCGCTAAGTCACTTGGTTTTAAGCAATGTATGGACAGAGACTGTATGGATAGAAAGTGCATCTCCAGTATCTAGCACATGACACATGTTGTTACTTATTATATTAAAAGATATTATTCTAAGGAAAATGGGAAGGGATGAACGAATCAATCTTTCCCATTTCTAAATCTTTGTTTATATCATAACTCCTTTCCTTTCGTGGGAGTTCATATGCCCTCTCAAGCCAATGTTTTCCAAGGCACCCTTTTCTCTGTACACAACTACTAGCACTTCCATAGAAGGTCACTGAAGCAGAAATTGGTCTCACATTTATCCTGCATTTTCCAGAGTACTACCCACACTAACTGACCAATAAGGGGAGAATAAGGTGCAAAGAAAAGGGAACCAGACTGGGAATTTGTAAATTTGGCTCTAGGGGTTAAAGTTTCAAAAGCATTTGCTGCTTTTGCAGAGGATCCACCATCTACAAGGTAGTTCACAACCACCTCTATCTAAGTCTAATTCCAGATGATCAGCTGATCTCTTGTGGCCTCTTTGGGCACACATATGGTGCACATACACATAGGCAAAACACTCATACACATAAAGTAAAAATATACACATAAAGTAAAAATATTTTTTAATTGGCATTAGTCTCTAGTAGTCTTTGGCATCTACTAACTTCACTGGTTCAGATAAATTACAGTATCTCACTTTCTAATTTGTAAAACCATAGAGATACACCAAATGACCATAAAAACCCTTCCATTTCTGTCATTCCGGATTAAATCCATCCTTTCTTTAGCAATATTTTTATGTTTGTCAGCAAAAGAAAACTCTAATACTCTATTATTAAATCATATTATGTTTTTTAAGAAAGAAATGGTCCTGCAAAGTGTGGAAACTGCCTAAGGGACTAAATTTGATCATCTTTCTGGCCACTGAGAACCTTAAATTCAAGTTTTCCTTCAAAGTACCATTAAGCAAAATACTGAATGTATACATACTTGTGCTCCTTCATCACCACTGTTGTTTCCCAGACCTTCCCAAGCCTCAGTGACACCTTTCTTTTAGTACGTTACGAAAGAGAGGGAAGAAAAATAGAGAAGAAAATGTCTGCATAGTACACTGTGACCTTTTAAGTAATATTCAAAGACTGAGTTACAACTGATTATATATGCAATACCCCTTTCTTCTTTCCAAAAATGTTACCTAAAGAAAAAATTATAACATAGTTGAAGTAAAAGGTCATCTAAAAAAGAATGTTATATATAGTCAAATATAACTTTAAAGCATGGAAACCTATTCAAACAAACCTCTAAATCAGTAACTGTAGTTTAATCTTGTATTTTAATACCAATGCTGAGAAATAGGACTCTAGGGGGAGGTAAATAAAAGGGTTGCCATTTTACATAAAGATTCAAGTTCTATTCGTTAACAAAAAACCACCTGTAGAGTTAATAAAAGTACATATTCTAGGATCTGAACTAGTAAAATAAATCAAAAGCTTTCTTTCAGATGTATCAAAATGCCCCCATTAAATGTCAAGCATTAAAAGAGACTCATCTACAAGACAAAACTAAACTCTTTCAAAGGGATCCTAGGCCCTCTAATAATTTAGTCACTGTTGACAGAGTAGCCTCATCTCCCACCCATCCCTGAATACCACCTCACTTCTTAAACTTAATTGTTCACTTCCCCCTAAGTCCACTTGCTCCTTTGATGATTCCATACTTTTGCACTGGCTGTTCCCTCAGCCTGACATGCCCTTCCCTCTCAAGCTATAAATATACCCTCTTTCCTGAAGCTAATCCTGACTGCCCCAAAGCCCTCCCCCAGAGTGTCTCCTAGGGCACTTTTCATTCTCTTTCACCGCAGCACTGTAATTACTTTTTAATGTTCACCTCCTCAATCAGGTTGTGAGTTCTGAAAGGAGGACCCACATCTTATTAAACTACTTCCTGGCTTCTAGCACAATATCTGATGTTTACTGAAACTCAGTATGAATGGCTTGTACAAAGGAAAGTTAGATGTGAGAAACACTTCATATTTTTCTATCAAACAATGCATACATTTAACCACTTTAACACAAGTGGTTCTCAACAACAAACAATTTTATCCCTAAAGGACATTTGGTAAAGTATGGAAAAATATTTGGTTGTCGAAAAGTGGGAAGGGACGACACAGGAGGGAATGTGACTATCATCTGAATAGAAGCCAGGGGTGATGCTAGCAACCCTACAATGCACTAGGCCACCCCCACAACAAAAGTTATCTGAGCACAACGTCAGTAGTTCCAAGGCTGGGAAGCCTGGCTACCAAATTATTTACTCAAACATGATTTGATAGTATACCCCAGCAATAATTACAATAAATTCCAATTTTTTAGTTTGAACTGAAACTTCTTAAGCAGCTGGTAGGTACACATCAACACTAAAAATGATCATACACTCAGTGCCTAGCTACATTAAGAGTCCTAGAAAGCTTCCTGTATTTCTTAAAAACCAAACTAGATACCAGAAGCAACTCTGAAATCAAAAAACACTTGGTTTATAAACTTTACCACAAACTACAGGCAAATTAATTTTCACTTGCATAACTATGACAGAAACCCAATCTGAGGCATGAGGTAATTAGTCCTCCGTGATAAAAGAAAAATCTCTTCAGTGCTGCAAGTAAATCAGACACAGATGTCTTAGTCCTGAACACTGAGCAACTGATGGGGAGAGTAAAGGACATGCCCTGCTTGCTGCCAAATCACTGGTATCAAAATTTCGAAAAACTGGCAAAAACAGCAAAAAAGTCAATACAGAGGGTCAGCATCAGACGTTAACTATTTCTCCCCTGATCTATGACCAAGTTTCACATGACTTCAACATTTTATGAAACCCATGCAAAAGCAGGAATACTCCCTTCCTTCATACTGAATGACTCAACTCTCTGGCACATTTCTTGACTAAATACTACAAATTCACTAAGTTCCTGTCCTTTGAACTAATTATCTACTCTCTGGTCAACTCTTAATGGATAAGGCACCTCATTTTCAATCAAAACACTTCTTTACACCTTTCCAGTCTCAACAGAAAGGAAGCTATCCAAAACAAACCGAGTAGGCAACTCATTAGAACAGATTTTAATGATGTTATTCTAGGAACTGGTACCTAAACAAACCAACCTACAGCTTTCCAATGGTCTTTTCATCCTCAAGGTTTTCCAGATTTCAAATCGAGACGGCCCTGGGAGAAACTAAATGGAAGTGTATACCATTTGATACGTTTATTCTTGGATGGCTAAAATAAGGTTCTGAGGCTTGGAGGGGGAAATGTATTTTTAATTTTAAAAAGTTTCCAACAGTGAGTAATATCTTCCTTCTCCGCTGACTTTGCCAGTGTCAATCCCACGACTGGGCCCACACTAGGCCGGGTCTCGCGTTACCCTCCAGCGGGGTCCAAAAGAGAAAGGCGGCGAAGCGGCGCGGCAGGTGCGTGTAGTGGGGAAGTGGAGGCAGGCTGGGCCAGGAAGGGACACCAGCCGCCGCAGCCGCCCACCCGGCGTCCTACCCGTCCGTCCCACTCTGGGGCTGGGATCCCAGAGGGACGCGCCCGCGCCACACCCTCCGGCCCATAGTGACAGCCCCGCGCGGGAGTCGGCCACGGCCTCCCCGCTCCGGCCTGCGCCCCACCCAACCCGCGGGCCGACCCCGAGCAGGACGAGCAGGCCTCGGCGCCCGTGGGCTGCGGGGCCTAGCGGAGCGAGGAGCCCGCGCCCGCCTCGGCTCCTCGCGGCCCGGCTCCCCTCGGCCCGGCTGGCGCTCGCGCTCACGTGCTGCCGGAAGGACGGTTTCACTCTTACCCTCTGCAAAATCCTCCTGAACATGGCTTGGCCAGCAGCCGGCACCGCCGCGAGGACTCTGGGCGCCCTATGCGGGCTTCTCTGGACGAGGGCTTGAGGGCTGGGAGGAGGTCCGGGGCGAGGCAGTGACGGCAGCCGCGAGGGCGACCCAACTTCCCACAGGCGGCGAGAGACCGCGAGCGTGAGCCAGCAACCAAGAGGAGCCTGCGAGCGCCCGCGCGCCCGCCCGCCCGCCGGGCCACCCCCGTAACTGACAGCTGGGCGGGCCCGCCCCGGGCGCGAGGGGCAGAGTCGCTGTCACTCCGCCTCCCTGGCCGGTCGGTCAGTGGGGAAGGGCGGGGCCGGAGGAGGGCCGGCCGGAGCCTGAGACCAATCGGAAGCGGCAAGAGCGTGGGCGGCCCCGTGACGGACAGGCGGCCAGACGCTGGCGCTTAGGTTGCTTCCGGCGAGCCTGGGGACACCAGGACTGCGGAGCGCACGCTGGAGCTCCGTCAGAAGGCGGCGCCCGCTCCGACCGCGAGGCTTGGGGAGGTGGAGTGCAGACCCCTGCGGTCGACTTTGGGGGTGGGGTCCCTGTCCTGGCCGTGGGAGAGGGCCCCCGCGCTACCTTCGGTCGCACTCCGGGCTGTCGCAGAAATCTATGAGAGCGCCCTTTCCCCTGCGTGTCCCTTCAGGACTCTGCGGGACCCCGGAGCTGGAGCCCTGTCTACGCTAGAAAGGCTGATTAGACTTAGTCCCGGCCCCATGCGGACAAGAGAGACGGAGGCCTGCTTCACTGTGTTGGGCTTCCCTCTGCTTTTCCAATCCCAGGTTTCCCTCCGCCTTCCTGCTTCTGATTGCAGCCACAGGAAAGTACCAGAGGGCCTTGGGGAGGAAGCTGAGTTTGAGTTAGCTGGACAATTTAGGAGTTACCCTGGGGGGCCCTAACTCTTGGTTCATGTCGTTAGCTACTTTCTAACGAATTTTAGATCCTATTGTGATAATACATATGAAAAGTAACTCATTAATGCCTGTGTTTTTTTAAAATATTTTATTTATTTTTTTATTTGTATGTCTGTATTGTCTGCACATAGGTAAGTGCACCCGTGTCGTGTAATGCCCACGGAAGACAGAAGAGGCTGTCGGATCCCCTGGGACTGCAGTTTAATGGACAGTTGTTAGCTGTCATGTGGGTACTGGGATTTGAACCGGGGTCTTCTGCAAGAACAGCCAGTGTTCTTAACCCCTGAGCCGTCTCTCCAGCCCCTAATGCCTGTGTTTTTACGCATTAAGAAAAAATTGGGGTTGTCTGATGTGGTGGCGCAGGCTTTTAATCCCAGCAGAGGCAGTGGCAGGCAGATCTGTAAGTTTGAGGCCAACCTGGTCTACATAGTGAGTTACAAGCCAGCCAGGATACATAGTGAGACCAAAAGAAAGAAAGAAAAAAGATGTTGTGCATAAGCTTGGTGCCAAAAGAAGACTTAGACTTGGAACTGGCCTCCAGGCGCAATATGATTATTTAAAGTTGAAAACCAAATTCCTGTGTCTGCCAGTACTCACTAGCCAAGGGGCTCAGCTTTGAACCTGGATGAAAATATCTAATATTACTTAAATAGGGAAGGTGGGGGCATAATAGAATTAACCTTGTCCTTGGTGGGCTCGCAGGGGGGACATACAAACCTTGAGTCTACCAAGCAATACCCAGAGAACTCATTGTAAATTAAGTCCAGATCAATCCAAAAAATGCAGGAAACTGTTGTTTTCAAATATTAATGACAGAAAGTATTTGGTAAAGTGTAAAACAGTATAATCTGTGTTTCTATCTCCTTTTGTTTTTTTACCACATGTTGGTCTTTATAGTGCGTCAGAATAACCATGCATACAATTACTACATTATAAATCACTATTGATAATGCACTGGCAAAACATACTTCCATCTTTTTAGCCACAAGGAATTTAATTTCAGACAGTATGAATAACATTCCCAGTGTTGTAGGGTAGTGAAAGTGACTTTCTGTGTTTTTCAAAAATTAGGTTAAAACTGCTAAGGAGTACATATAGTCCATGTCTTTTCCTAGAACTCTAAGGTGGAATCTTTGGTTAATATAGTAGGCTTGCATCTAGTGTTTAGTTAGATAGGTCATTCAGAAACCTTTGTGCTCCCCTGTAATTTGTAATTCCATCACTTGAAAAATATAGTAGAAAATTCAGTTGTTTCAAATGAAAATAAGCAGTGGTTGAGACAAAAACAGGTAAGAATACCCTTCACTAATCACACACATAAATTCTGCTTACCCTGTGACCACTAATTCCTGTCCATTCACCTTTCTTACATAAGCATTCCCCAAACCATTCCTTCTTTGACACCCACCAAGACCTCCAATAGTTGGCCTCTCTTTTCTTACTGTAGTAATTTCCCTGGCCTGCTTATTTCCATCAAGACAGTTGAAAGTCAAATGGGTAGTACAAACCTATAATCCCAGCCATTTTAAGGGCTACATAGTGAGACCTTGTTGGAAAAAAGTAAAAGAAAAAAAATCTATTAAAAAACTCCACTGATATGTGTATTTCTTACTAAGCTTGACACATTATTAAAAAGCTAAAATTATTACTCTGTCTAAACACATATTTCTATCAATATAGGCAGTAACTGTTGTTGCCTATAGACCTCATTCTCAATAATGTAGAAAGTTTACAAGTCTACATCTACTTCATAGCTCCATTATATTATATGGTATATGGGCAGAATCTTGTGTCAGATCCATGGCAACAGTTTCTATCCATAATTTCCCCAGTTTTGGTCTACCAGCTGCTGCCACAGAGGCTAGTTGAATAAACTCAGCACGAGTATTCATAGAGCTTTAATAAAGTGAGGATTGAAATTGTCACAGCTGCCCTTGTGGAGCTTCACACCAGATCCTGGCTCTGCTCAACTTTGAAGAGACTACCAGGGTACACACAGAAGAGTAACAGGTATTACTGTTGGTTGATTTTCATAATTTTGGCCAAGCAAGGTGAATTACACCTAGACAATACAGGACCAAAATCATCCACTCTCATACAGTCTCAATTGGGTTATCAGCTGTTCTAGTTAGCTTTCTATTGCTGTGATAAAACACTGACTAAAACCAACTTGGGGAGGAACAGGTTTATTTCTGCTTACAGTACAGTCTCATTGAGGGAAACCAGGGCAGGAACCTAGAGGAAGAAGTTCAAGTAGAGACCAAGGAGGAATGCTGCTTACTGGCTTGTTCCCCTGGCCTGTTCAGCCTGTTTTCTTATACAACTCAAGCTCAGGGATTACACCACCCACGGTGGCCTGAGCCCTCCTATATCACTCAACAATCAAGAAAATGTCTCCCAAACATATCTACAAGCCAACCCAATAGAAGAAATCCCCCAACTGAGATTCCTTCTTTCCTGGTTTGTCAACTTGATAACAGAAGCTATCCAACACATTCTGTTGTTTCTAACATGTTACAAATAAATGTACTAGTGATTCCTGTCCTGTCTAGATATCTTTGTGAATATGAAACCTGGATGTTCAGCAGCTTATTGAACAATTTCATTTGGGCATCTTAAAGAATCCTGAGATTTAATTTAAAATGTATAAACTCTAGGGACTAGAGAGATAGCTGAGTGGTTAAGAGTTTATACTGCCTCTTCCAGAGAACTCAAGTTTGGTTCACTGCACCCATATCAAGTTCTTCATAGTCTTCTGGGGGATCCAGCTTCCTCTAATGGCTTCTGAGGGTACCTGCACATACCCCCATACATACACCCCCCCACACACACACACAGTTTAGAAGCAAAATATTTTAAATATCTAAAATCTAAATTGAAATCATCTGTGATGGTCAATTTGTCAATTTAAGGGGATCTACAGTTACTTAGGACATAAGCCTCAGGGCATGCCTATGAGGGATTATCTAAAGATTAGGTTAGCCTCTGGATAGGTCTATTAAGGATTATCTAGATTAGGTTAACTGAGGTAGGAAGACCCATCTTAGCTGTGGGTGACACCAACCATGGGCCAGGGCCCTGGACTGAATCAAAAGGAGAAAGCTGAATATGAGCATTCATTGCTCTTTGCTTCCTGACTAACTTGCAGGCTCACACTTCTGCCAGCATGCCGTCCCCACTATGATGGGCTGCCTGCTCTAACTGAGCCAAAATAAACCCTTTCTCCATTAAGTTGCTTGTATCAGGGTATGTTATCCCAGCAACAGAAAAAGTAATGCATCATGTCCATGTTCTGCACTTCTGTCCTTTACTGTTGTTGGTTTTTGTTTGTTTGTTTGTTTGTTTGTTTGTTTGTTTGTTTTAACCCACTGAGTCCAATTAGTGTTACCAGTATGTACATGAGTGTAGAGCCATGTACTGGATCATGATAGCCTCTCAAGAATTGCATCCCTGAAAAAAACTGACTTCTCCCTCTCCTAGCAGTCATCAGTTGTCAGAAGCTCCTCAGCTAGGGGTGGGACTTCATGATGCCCTCCCAAATCTGTGCTGGGATTTTGTCTGGCTTGATCTTGTGCAAGTCTTGTGCATGCTGTCAAAAATACTGAGTTTTTGTATGCACTTGTCCTCTTGTCCATAAAATACCGTTTTTGCTGGTGTCATCTGCTACCTCTGACTCTTACAGTCTTCCCCCTCTGCCCACTTACACAATGATCTCTGAGCCTTGGGAGCAGGAAGTGTGATATGAATATCCTATTTAGGGCTGAGCATTCAGCAGTCATGTTCTCTGCAGTTGTGGGTCTCTGGGTTAATCACCATCTACTCAAAAAGAAGCTTTTCTGAGGAGGATTAAGAATGCACTAATCTATGGGTACAAAGCAGAGTTCTTATGGAGTAGTTTAGTACTATTTTCAGATAGCAGAATATTCGATGGTTTTCCTCTAAGGCCTATAACCTACCCTAGCCATGGGTTCTTGGCCCTATTAGTGGTGGCAGCCTTGAGTTCCATCTTGTGGAATAGTCCTTAAAACCAACTAGAAAATAGTTACTCCCATAACTTTTGTGCCACTGTTACACCAGTGAGCATGTCTTGTTAGGCCGCTCATTATTGTAGCTTGCAGGGTTCACAGCTGAGTAAGACTGTTGATTACTCCCCCAATGTTGTATATAACACCTTCCAGCACTACGAAAGCTAGCCAGTAGAGATGAAGCTTCTTGTACCAACTTGATTTCTCTATGTCCTGTGACTCAAATATTTGGTGTCTTCAGTTATAGGGTCTTATCATGAAGTTCTGGAGAGATATCAAGAGCAGTTGCATTACCTTGTAATGCTTGGAGGTCTATGAGTCCCCATTGACCAACAACTTGAAAAAAAAGGTAACCTGTACCTAGTATCAAGCTTTTTATTTGATAGCCTATGGTGTCTGAAAGAGACATTGTCCCCCCATTATTTACTATTTACATTATTTATTACTACAGTAACTCTAATTAAACTCTTTATATATGTATTTATTTTAGAAGGGTTTTACAGTAGTAGGTTTCATATGACTTTTTCAAAGGTCTTTTATGTTCATTATCCCTCCCCATACTCCCTTCTCTAACCTCCCATCTCCCACCCCACTTAACTCTTCTTGCTCCATTATTCATCCTTTCCCCTTTAAACCACTTGTATTCTATCCCCTCTCCCTTGAAAGCACTCTCGTCTACAGTCTCTTACTAGTTTCCTGACTTCTGTGGTGTGAAGGCTAATCTTGGTTGTCAGTTTGACTGGATTTAGAATCAACTAAAACCCAAGCCAACTGAGTACTCCTGTGAGGGATTTTCTCAAATTGTTTGAAACATGAAAACCCACCTAAATGTGGGAGGCACCATCTGGTGGTAGCCCAGAAAAAAAGGCATGAAGGAAGGAAACCTTTGCTTTGCCTGATTGCCTTCACTCTTGCTCATAAGTGCATCTATCTTGTGGTGCAGTATTCTTTTTTAAAAAATTTTATGTGTACGAATGTATTACCTGCATGTATGTAAGTGCACCCATGTCATGCAATGCCCATGGAGGCCAGAAGAGGGCATTGGAGGCTGGAGAGATGGCTCAGCAGTTAAGAGCACTCACTGTTATTGCAGAAGACCCAGGTTCAAATCCCAGCACCCACATAGCAACTAACAGCCATCCATAACTCCAGGTCCAAGGGATGGGATTCCATCCTGTCTTCTGTGGACATTGCACAATACTTACATACATTCAAGCAATACACACATACACATAAAATAAAAATAATAAAGTAAAAATATACTTTTTAAAAAAGGCATTGGATCCCCTGCAACTGGACTTAGGAAAGTTCTTAGTTGCCATGTAAGTGCTGGGTTTCAAACCTCAATCTTCTGCAAGAGCAACCAGTGCTCTTAACAGCTGAGCCGTCTCTCCAGCCCCAGTACAATATTCTTTTGCTGATCTTAGAACCAACTTCTTTGGGCTTCCAGTGTAGACTGAAGAAGACCAGCAGCTCTCCAGGAATCTTCCACGCCTTCAGCACCAGATTGAGATTGCTGAGACATCCAGCCTTGTGAACTGAGCAGCCACCATATTCTCGGCCTCTCCAGTCTGAGGCAGCTGTTGTTGGACTACCCAAACCATTTCATATAAGCCAATTGTATGAGTTAGTTTTTGTTACTGTGATAAAATGTGATGACTAAAAATAATTTATAAAAGAAAGACTGTCTCTTGACTTCCAGTTCCAGAGGGTTAGAGTTCATAATAGTGAGATGGCATGGCTGCAGGCACTGGAACAGGTAGGTGGGTGACCACATTTTGTTGGTACACCAGGAAACAGAAAACTAGAAGTAGGGCAAAATACAAACTTTCAGAGCCCACCCCCAGTGATGTTCTTCCTCCAGCAAAGCTCCATATCCTAAAGTTCCATAACTTCCCACAAACATTGCCACCAGCTGGGTACCAAATGTTCAGATACCCAAGTGTTCAGATTCATGAGCCTATGGGGGACATTTCTCATTCAAACCACCACAACCTAATAAATTGTGTGTGTGTGTGTGTGTGTGTGTATGTGCACACGTGTGTGTGTATTGGTTCTATCTGTTCTGTTTCTTTAATGAACTCTGAAATGCACACACACACACACACACACACACACACATATATCAATTGAAACATATCTAAAGATTTATAGTTAGCTTCCACTTATGAGAGAGAACATGAGGCATTTTTCTTTTGGGATATAGGTTACTTCATCCAGAATGATCATTTCCAGCTCCATTCATTTATCTGCAAATTTCATAATTTCATTTTTCTTTACAGCTGAATAAAATGTCATTGTTTATGTGTACCACACTTTCATTATCCATTCACCAGTTGATGGACATCTCGGCTGTTTCTATTTCCTGGCTACTGTAAATAGAGCAGCAATGAACGTGGATGAACAGATATCTCTGTCGTAGGAATTAGAGAGACCTCTGAATATATGCCCGAGTGGTACAGTTGGATTATATGGTAGATCTATTTTGTCTTTGAGTAACTTCTACACTGATTTCCATAGTGCCTGCACCAGTTTTCACTCCCATCAACAGTGAATAAGTGTTCCCCTTTTCCCATATATATGCCAGCATTTGTTGTCATTTGTTTTTTGTTTTTATCTTAGCAGTTCTGACTGGGATAAGATGAAATATCAAAGTAGTTTTAGTTTGCATTTCCCTTATGGCTTAAAACTATTTCTCAGCCATTTGTCTTTCTTCTTTTGAGAACTCAGTTTAATTCCATGGTCCCATTTTTTAAATTGGGTTGTTGGTTTTCTTAGTGTTTAGGGTTTTTGTTTTGTTTTGTTTTTTAGTTCTTTGTGTATTCTAGACACTGACCTCTGTCAGATGTATAGCTATTAGATTTTTTCCCATTCTGTAAGCTGCCTCTTCACTTGAATGATAGTATCTTTTGCTGTGCAGAAGCTTTTTGTTTCATGAGGTCCCATCTATCAGTTGTTGGTCTTAAATTTCTATACTACTAGAGCCCTATTCAAAAAAACCTTTCCTGTGCCTATAAGTTCAATCTTATTTCCTATTTTCTCCTTTAACAAATTCAGAGCATCAGGTCTTATGTTGAAGACCTTGATCCATTTGGAGTTGAGTTTTGTACAGGGTGAGGTAAGGATCTAGTTTCATTCTTCTGCATCTAGTATCTAGTCTGTTAAGCACCATTTGATGAAGATGCTGTCTCTACTCCAATATGTATTTTGAACTTCTGTAATTAAAAATTCAGATGGCTGTAGGAGTATGGGCTTGTCCCTGAGTCAATTCTAGTCCATTGATGAGGAGCGATTTTGTGCCAGTACCATGCTATTTTATCACTCTATCTCTGTATAGTATAACTTAACAACTGGAGTGGTGATACCTCCAGCAGTGTTTTCATTGTTCAAGACTATTTTGGCCATCTTTGGTCTTTTGTGTTTCCATATGAATTTTAAGATTTTAAAAAATTTTGTGAAGAATTTTATTAGAATTTTGATGAGGAATGCATTGAATCTGCAGATTGCTTTTGGTACATCACTTCATGATAGAAGTCCTACAGAAACTGGGGATGCAGGGTACAGTTTTCAACATAAAGGCAATATATAACAAGCCCACAGCCAGTACCAAGCTAAACAATGAAAAACTCGATTTCCACTAAAATCAGGAACCAAGATGCCACTCTCTCCTCTCCCATTCAATATAATGCTTAAAGTCCTAGCTACAGCAGTAAGACAAGAGGTGATAAAGGGTTACAAATAGGAAAGGAGGAAGTCAAAGGATCCTTATTTGAAGATCTCCAGTTATGACTACCACCATAACCCCAGCCAGAAATCTGAGTATTATTCTTGCCTGTTTCCTGATTTCTGTCTCGTTCCAATTAACTGAGCTAGTCCTGTGAATTCTAGCTCACTTCACCCATTGTGTACTGTCTCACTTCTACCTGGGTCAGCAAGTCCTTTCAGTTTGTTTTCACCTTGTATTCCTTTGATTCGTTATCCACATTCCAGTTGGAATTATCTTCCAAAACACAAATCTGCTCATGTGGCTCCTCTATTTAGAATATCTCATTTGTTCCCCATGTTGAGGGCAAATACCTAAACTCCTTACTGTGATTCTTGAGGTAATTTTCTGGACTCATCATAGTCTCTCTTGCTTCTGAACTACTATATATGCTATTCCCACATGCCTATATTGTTCCCTACCCTCTTTCTCCCTTAACCCATCTAATTCTGACTCATGCCTAAGTCTCCCACTACAGATTAAGCTGCATGTCCTATAAGTACCTATATTAATACCCAAGACTTATTACAATAGAGATAAGACCTTGGGCTACAAACTCAAGACACTCTAGACCACAAGACAAGTCATTTCTTAAGTTCACCATTTCCTTTGCTCTGACTGAATACTGACCCCAGAATTTCATTTTCTTGGTTTGGGTTTTGTTTTCCTGGAGATGGGGATCAAACTACTCCTGAGTCTGCACCCTCAGCTCTCCCAAAAGTGTTTAATGATAAATGATTATTTTTCTTGTTTTTGATTGTTTGTTGTTTGTTAGAACAGGGTCTCCCTGTAGCCCCAGCTAGCCTGGAACTGGCTATGTAGACCAGGCTTACCTTAATCTCACAAAGCTCCACCTGTCTGTGCTTCCCAAGTGCTGGGATTAAAGGCTAGCGCCACCATGCCTGGCTTGTTCATGTTTTTTGATTCCCATCTAGTTTGTCTTTAAAGAATAAATGCACTGATTCTGTTAATGCAAGCACATTTAAAATGAAATTTGTATTGCCCATTGTAAATTTATAAAATGATACTTAGTCTTTGTAAACTTGGATAATATGTGTCTGCTGCCTAAGAGAAGAATTTACCTTCAATATTCTAACAGAAAGTCCAAATTCTGAGCCCACAAAGATTCAGAGCCTGTATTGCAGTGAATTTACCAATCTAAATGAACTTCCCAAAGTTTCTCAAAGGATATCTAGCTGGCCTTCCTAGTAATATAGAGGACTTGTGTAGAATTTAGACCCATAGGGCTTCCACCTCCCCATGTGATTTGAAACTCAATGGTATAATTTTCCAGAGGATATCTGTATCAATTACTTTCCTCCTTGCAGTGACAAATTACCCGACAAAAGCAGTGTAAGGAAGACTATTTTGGCTCACCATTTGAGGCTACAGTCGATCACTATAGGAATGACCTTTAGAAAATGAACATAATCTGGACTAATGACTTTTAATTAATCTTGGCAAACTCACTGAACCATGTGCTCTTGTGACCTGGGCACAGGTCTGATCTTGTTTCCTAGGACTCCACCAAAAAAAAAAAAAAAAAAAAAAAATGAATGTGAGTATTCGTGAGTATTAACATATCAAAGCACTGAAATACAGCATGCCCTTCTTCATTGAAAACATGAAGACTGAGAAAGGGTATTTGACATTGTACGTATGAGATATTCTAGAACTAGGGATAAAAAGGCAAAATTATCTGGTAACAGGGCTGGAGAGAGGACTCTGGTTAAGAACACTGGCTGCTCTTCTAGAGGACCTGGGTTTGATTCTCAGCACCCACATGGTGGCTAACAACCATCCCTAACTCCAGTTCCAGGGACTCTGCATGGGCTTTGCACAACATGGGTGAACTTACATGCATGCAGGCAAAACACGCATATACATATAAATAAATCCAAAAATTTAAACAATGATTGTCTGATAAGTGTATATTCTAGCCTATACCCACCCAGTTGAAGCTGAAGAAACCATTTTGAATAAAATCATGAGTGAAGCCTGACTCAAGGACACCTCTAGAACACAGTTCCAGAGCATAGTTCTTTGAGACATCTGGGGGAATGGTTGTCCTCCAAGTCTGGGCCACTCTTAAAAACTGAATTTAAGAGTCAGGCTACTTTATTCAGGTAATTGTAAGGTTGGCATAGTAATGCGGCATATCATGACAGGGAAGGCATGGTGGCAGGAGCATGAGGAGGATGATCACAGTCAGGAAACGAGATGATGCTGGTGCTCAGCTCACTTTCTCCTTTTTATTTAGTCCAGGATTCCAGCCAGTGTAACCTACATTCAAGATGGGTCTTTTCAAACGTTTCTAGAAAAATGCTCATAGATATACCAAGAGATATGTTTCCATGGTGATTCTTAATCCGGTCAAGATGACAATGAAGATTATCCCATTACATCATCTAATTCACATAGTACATCAGTTACATCCATGAGTTATTTAAAGGAGGCAGAAATTTTAAATTTAAACTATGATTCAAGGGACTGGAGAGATGGCTCAGCAGTTAAGAGCACTGGCTGCTCTTGCAGAGGACCCGGGTTCCATTCCCAGCACCCAAATAGTGGCAATAACCATCTGTAAGTCCAGTTCCAGGGGAATCCCAACACTCTCTTCTGACCTCCTTGGGCATTTGTCCAACACAGGTGCACTTACACACAGGCAATACACTCATACACATAAAAATAATAAAATATAAAAAAATACGGCTTAAATGAACAGTTGTAAAAATCAGGTCTGAAAATATGCTGCCAACATACAGCATAGAGATGGCAGCCTGAGTAAAAAGTAGAGGGTAAATAACTTTAACCGATATATTATTAGTGAATACTATCTTGGAACTTCTGTATCTATTTGTACAAAGAGCACGATTAACTTACTAAGAAACCCTAGTTAATAACTCAGCTAGTCATCCCTTACATCATTAGTTATAATTTTAAAAGAAATTCAAACTTGAGAAATGACTCAGTGGTTATGAGAACTTACTGTTCTTCCAGAGAACCAGAGTTTAGTTCCCAGAACCTACATCAGGCAGCTCACAGACTCCTAGAACTCCTGCTACAAGGGATTCAACACCCTCTTCTAGCCTCTGCCATGCAAGTGGCATTCACTCATGCAGACCACACACACACACACACACACACACACACGTGAGCTTGCATACATTCATAAAAATTAAAAAATAAAAAATAAAGGTTTGAGAGCCAGGTGGCTCCAGGCTAGACACGGGGCCCCGGGGAAAGTGAGTGAGGTCCTGAGGCCAGTGTTTGTGGGTTGAGGTGCTACAGGCATTCCAGGAGGTGGTCATAACGAACCTGGGGAGCCAAGGACATGGTAGGCTTGAAGAGGAAGCACTCCAATTTGGAAGAGGAGGAAGAGGAAGATGAAAACGCGGGGTGGAACCCTGCAAGTCTTCGAAGCTTATCAGCAAACCCTGCTCGGAATCTCTCTGGACAAAGCCCAGCGCAGCCTTGGCCTCCGCAGGCATGTCCTTATCCACAATATACTGCAGCAGCTCCAGGCTCCTGTTCGTCTGGATTCAACACCTGCCCCGCCCTTGGAACCGCTCTTCCTGGGCGAAGAAGATTTCTCCCTGTCTGCCACCATCGGCTCTATCCTCAGGGACCTCGATACATCCCTGGATGAGAGAGAGCCACCTCCGAATCCAGTGGCTTCCCCAGGTCTCCAGGATGAAGTGATGCCCCAAGCCGATCCTGTCTTCTTAGAAGCTCTGAGCTCACGGTACCTTGGGGGACTCTTTCTAGACATTGACACATCTGCAGTGGAAAGGGAATATGCCCTGGTATCCCAAGAGCCTCCTCACAGCCTCTTCTGTGTCCCAGGGTTCTGGGAATAGAATGAATTGGACCATATCATGGAAATCATCCTGGGGTCCTAAAACCCCACCTCAGCCTCGGTGGGCTGGGTCCTTGGAAGTGACTTCTGTGTGTATATGTGGAGGCTCTAAACTGTGGGCTCCTTTCCCCCCATTTTAGGGTTGCCCAGACTGTTGAGCATGTGTGCGTGTCTGGTTACCTCAGCCTTCCGTGAAGGTGGATCTTCCTGAATTAATTTATCTCTTCCAAAGGCCTTAAATGAGACTGTTTCGAGGAGTGTGATTGCTCACACAGTTCTGCCTCCAGTTCCCACTGCCCTTGTCACCACAAGGACCTCACGGTAGATAAAGCTGGGTCTGTCAAAGGGTGATGGGTGGGCTGCCTGGTTGCTCTGGAAACCCAGGCTCCACCTCCTGAGGTAATAGGGGTAATAGCTGGCTGAGCCCGGCTTCCTTGGCAGGAACCCCAGTCCCAGGAGCCTCCTGATTCATAACCAGGCTGGACCACGTACAATAGGGTAGAAATCAACCTGCTTCATCCCATGTTATTTAAAAAGAAAGGCAGGGTTTGTATTGGTTTTAAAAAAAATTGTTTTTCTTTTTTTAATAAAATTATTTTGAACGTAAAAAAAGGTTTAATGTACTAGAGTGATGGTTCAGCAGTTAAGAGCACTGGCTGCTTTTACAGAGGACCTAGGTTCAGTTCCCAGCACCAACATGGAGGCTAACAACTGTCCATAACTCCAGTTCCAGGGAATCCCTCCTCTGCCTCCTGGGGCACTGCACACACATGGTGCACTTACAGTCATGCCAGCAAAGCTCTCATACACATAAAAATACAAATAAAATTTAAAAGAAATTTAACTTGTAACCTCAACTTCTCAGTAGGCTGAGGTACCATATCTGCAAGTTCTGGCCAACCTGAATCTCAAAAAAGTGGGATCCTACATTAAAGTATTTGATCTACTTGAGGCTGTGGGGTTTTTTTCCCCCGTGGGTGAGATGCAGGGATCTAGTTTCATTCTTCTACATGTGGATACCCACTTTGCCAGCATTATTTGTTGAAGAGGCTCTTTTCTCAAATGTATGTTTTAATACTTTTGTCTAAAAAAATGTAGCCGAGTCTGTGTGGGTTTATTTCTAGGTCCTCTGTTCTACTCCCTTGGTCTAGGCATCTGGTTTTGTGCCAGTAACATACTGGTTTCATTACTACAGATAATTGAAAATCAGTGTTGTGATCCCTCCAGCATTCCTCTTTCTGCCTGACTGCTTTGGAAATTTGGGGTCTTTCATGCTTCCCTGTTAATTTTAGGGTTACTTGTTCAGATGAAGGAATGAATGGATAGAAGGAGCCCTAGATTCAGAACTTCATGGACAAGAGCTCAGTCTCTGAGGGCAAGGAGCTCAAGGCAGTGAGATGCATTTGACAGCCTGGCACCAGAATCCATGGCTAGCCCCAGGGATAGAGATGTGGACCTTCTGACAACCAAATGCTGAACCTACCCGAGAGCCCCTAAAAGCAACAGACTGCTTTTACAAGGGGGTCAGGGCCTGGAAGTCACATAAAAAGCTGGATGGAGGTTGACTTCCCTTCCTCCTTTCACTTTCTCCATTTCTGTGGTAGTATGGGATGGGAACAGGAGACCTGTGGTCCCCCCTAAGGACTTCCCAGGGTTTGGGTGGGCTTTTGCTTTTCCTTCTTAGGCTGATTTCTCTCTCCTGATTTGTCCTTATTCTATACCTTTTACATACACCCCCAGAATCTTTCTGGCAGTTCATTGCTATCCAGTTTCTGGTTCTGGACCAGGACCAGAGTTCTGGATGCTCTGCTCTCTTCAGAGAAAGAAACTGGAAGAGCTCAGAGTCCAGCTTTCAGCCAGCACCTAACTCTGGCCAGGCGTTTAGTTCCTTGAAGAAGGAAAACTTCCTGAGGCCCCTGGAGACAAGATCTGCTGGAGCCCCTCTATAGGCAGGGAACTCACTCAATGGATTTCCTACTGCTCCTGCTCCTAGGCAGGGAATTTGTCTCCGCATCAGAAGACCCTGCTCCTGCTTCAAGATCCACCTTCTAGAGACAGGAGACACCTCCCCTGCTAAGTCATCAGTGACCTGCTCTCTGCAGTCTTACTCTGCAGTGGATTCCTTCGGTTGGCATCCTGATACCCCCTGAGAGCTTAGAACTGTAACACTTGCTGACAGTCTCTCAGCTAAGCACCTCAAAGCCTACTGAGATATGTGACACTACCAACCTCGCTCAATTAGCATCCTGTTTCTACTTTCCCATTCAAGTTTACGCTCTCTTGTTTAAACTGATCCCACATGGCAAATAGAAGTTCTCCTTGTTTGTTTTCCTTTTGCTTTCTGCCCATTCCATTTTTGGAGGGAGGGCAAGGCAAGAACCCAAGGTAAGCAAAATCAACCATCTCAATATGGTAGTCACCATCCATTCACTATGGTTTTCAGGATTTCCTGTATGTAAGCACAATGTTTCAAATGTTGCTGGTCTTCTGTGCTGTTCCTGTAAGTGTGCAATTAATATACATTAAACAAGCTCAGCACAGTGACACATGCCTATAATCCCAGGCCTTAAAAGGTAGAAGCGGGAGGATCAGGAGTTCAAGGTCTTTCTCTGATACCTACAGAGTTTGAAGTAAGCCTGGGCTACATGAAACTATGTCTCCAAAAAAACAAAAAAATAAAGCATACATTAAACTATGAGAGAGAGTTATTTAATTAGTTAGTTCAAGACCAGCCTAGTCTACATAGCAAGACCTCTAGCAAGAGGAAAGAAAAGCAATAGAAGAGTGGACCAGAATAGAGAATTAAGATTGAGAACATGAGGCACTTAAAGATGCAATGAATATCAATCAGTATGTTTGCTTAATGACACATTGCATTGTTAGTGATTTTCAAAGTGAGAGGGTACATAATTTAAACTTTTCTCAATCGTATATTATTGACGTATGTTAATAGGAAAGATTGATATATTTGATTTTCTAGACATAAAAATTCTGTGTGTTTAAAATTCTATTAAAAAGCTAAAAAAAGTGTAGTGTGAGAAATAATTGCAAAATATGTGCTAGACAAATGTTTAATATTCTTAATGCCATACAGTTTCACTTCTGAATTATGGGTTTCAAATTTAATATAGCAAGATAAACTAACATCAAAACTAACTAGTTAAAATAGAAACAAAGCAAGAAAAGAAAATTAAATTCAGCTATGCTGACCCTCCCTCCTACTTGAGTCATATGCCTTGCTCAGTGTTCTGAACCCTTCATCTCATTAACTCCTCCTTGTAATAATAAGAGCAGTCTTAACTACTATTCTCAGCAGATGAAGAATTGAGTGACTCTCCTAAGGTCACATCAATGACATGGAACTTGGACTAAATTTGAATTCCTTGCACTATACCATATGCAGACCTTTTAAAAAGTAAACAGAAATACCTAGTATCCAAACATTTACTCAATATACATTAATTTTTGCCTTTCATTGTGGATATTTTTGCATGTAATAGAAAACCATATACTAGAACCTTCCTGCTTCAATAATTATTTATACTTTGCTATTCTCCTTTCATCAATTCTTCCATGACATTTGTACCTGTTAAGGTTCAGATAGCCCCGCCCCCTCACCAACAGGGTCTCAAGGACTTCTCAAGCCTCTGAGAAAAGGGAACCTAGCTGATAAGCACCCTGGTCTTTGAAGTCAGTGGTCTCCACTGTTTGCCCAACACAGCAGGCTTCCCCTTTGATCTCTAAAGAGGACAGGTTTTAACAGTCCTATTATCCCACTTCCCCCCACCCAACTTTATAAAAAAAAATACATCTTCCCACCTTCTGCAGGAAGAAGAAGCCTCCCCCTTTAAAAAGACCCCAGCTCACTACCTGGGCAGACATTTTCCCTGACTGGAAGGGAATCTGTCCCATGTGTTCCTTTGCTAATAAACTCTATTCCAATGGAGTTTTATCTGTGTCCTGGTGCTTTCTCCTGATCAACTGGATTCATCCATAGGCTACTTTATCTATCAGATGGTGCCAAAACTGGGTTGTTACTTCAAGGGACCTGCCTGGACTTCTCCAATGCTACTAATTTGGCTTTCAGGCACACTCCCACCCTTCTTTTCTCTCTCGGCTCCTCTCTTCAGCTCTGCTTTCACCTCTTTCTGGCTCTCCTCACTGGGGAACACACTCTGCCTTGCCTGCATCTTCTTTTGATCTCCTTTCCCATTGATTTCTGTCACTGCTGTTGGGGATGGAGCTACTTCATCTGTTCCCTACCTTGGTCCCACTCACCACTGGCATTTTGCCCCCCCCACCTTTGCCATGGGACTGGAAGGTCTGCTGTCTTCCATCATTTTTTCCTGTCTTTCTCCTCTTCCTCACTGTACTGGAGATGATTTCTGACACCATTCAATCCAACATTGCAAATGCTCTAAATCCTTCTCCTCTCTCTCCCCCTCCCATACTAAAGTTTTCTACTCCCTGCCATGTGCCTGACAGCCTGCCATGTGTCTGACCTCCCATGCAGGCTCTAAACCTCCATGACCCCAAGGCTTTTTTTCCCTTCCAGCTATTCACCCCCTCCAGGCAGCTGGCAAGATTGCCAGCTTGCCTGCCCTGGGGATTTTTTCTTTAACATTCTAATAAAATGATAAGTTTG